GTGATCCTCCTGCCTCAGCCTCCCAAGTGCTCGGATGACAAGCATGCGCCACCACGCCCAGCTCTGGATCAGCTATTTTAAAATGTTAAAGAGCTAACAGGATTCATATCTACAAACTAAAGTATGAGAACAACATTTCACCAAATAGAGAATGTCAAGACGGACATTCTTAAAAGGAATAATAAAAATTACTGGCACTGAAATGCACAACAGCTGAGGTACACGCAGCACCACCGCATAGCAGACATGAGCTGGCAGATTAGATCACAAACTGGACCTAAGGACAATCGAGGCGACCAGAATTAGGGACAGAAAAATGAGCAAAGCCTCGCTGACTGGGTGAGCCCACCGAGAACACCACGTCCCCCAGGGCCACGGGACGGTCACAACTGCGGACAGACTCTGAAGGGTGACGCTCCGGGAAACGGGGACTTCTCATGTGATTCTCCGGCTAGAAAATGCTGAGAATGGGCAGACCCACAGAAGAAGAAAGCAGGCCTGTATTTTCTCGTGCCTGGGAAGAGGCAGTAATGTGGAGGGACGACTTCGTGCAGAGGTGGCAAAAAGGCGGCACCCGTGCAACAGCAGGCACGCAGAGCCCTCTCGGCTGGCACGCAAGGCAAGTGCGCCAGCATCGCCCGAGCAGCCCCGCGCTGATTACACCGAACAAAGGGCAGGGCCGGCACTTCTCCACAAGGAAGGGGGTTCTGGGCACTAAAAGTTTCCACAGCACCGGGCTAGTGGGCAGGGCTTTCCTTTGGGGGTGAGGACTGCACCAAGCGGTGCGTTGTCAATGGTCAAGGGAGAAAACTTTCTGTTTCCCATATTGTAACAGGAAGAAGAGGATTCTTTAGAAGGAAATAAAAGAAGCCCAGATAGCAGCGCAGATCCCAACCTTCACGACTGCTGTTTCTAGATGTTTCCAAACGAATTCCTGTTCCCCTCAAATCCACACTCCTTGGCTGAGCGTGGACTCAAGAGACGCTTCCTGCTCCGGATCGGCCCCACCACCTGCACGGTGAGGACAGGCAGCCGGAGGACGGCTCTTCTGTGTTTTCTATCTTACTTGGTGTATAGGTTCTAAAAGTAGGTATTAATGATGCTCTGGCTTTCTGCTGAGTGTTGTAATTTTACTTCTTATTCCGAATTGCATGGATTTTAGCCTTTCCTTTTTTGATAAGGTTGGCAATGGGTTTGTCAATTTTGTTCCTTCTTTCAAAGAACCAACTCTTTGCTTTGTTAATTTTTTGTATGTTATCTTAGTCTGTATTGCATTGATTTCTGCTCTGATCTTTATAATTTCCTCACTTGTATGAGCTTTTTGTTTAGCCTCCTCTTCTTTTTCTAGAAGCTTCAGTTTTAGCATCAGGTTGTTTAATGGAGCTCACTCTTTCCCTACCATGAATGTTCACTGCTATGAATTTCCCTCGTAATACTGTTTTCATTTTGCCCCATAAGCTCTGATATGTTGTATTGACATCGTCATTTAATGTAGAAACTGTCTGATTTCTTCTTTAATTTCCTTTGTGACCCATTGGTTGTTTAGGAGGTTGTTCATTTTCCATGTGTTTATGAAGTTCTTGTGGTTTCTTTTGCTATTGATCCCAAATTCCACTGCATTATGGTCTGATAATATACAAGGGATAACTTAAATTCATTTGCATTCACTTAAATATGTTTTATAAGCAATTGTGTGGTCTATTTCAAAGAACAACCCATGTGCAGCTGAGAAGAATGTATATTTTGATTTTGTGGGGTGGAACATTCTATAAGCATCTGTTAAGTACATTTGTTCAAGGGCTTCATTGAATTTTCATGTCCATTAATATTTGTTTTACATAGTGGGGTGCACTAGTATTTGGTGCATATATATTTATGATTGTCATCTCTTGGACTGATCCCTTTACAAGGATGTAGTGACCTTCTTTGTCTATATTAATTAGTGTTGGTTTGGAATCCATTTGATCTGCAAATAGGATAGCTACTCCTGCCTTTTGGAGGATTCCCATTGCATGGAGTATTGTTTCCCATCTTTTAACTTTCAGTCTATGAATTTCTTTTTGAATTAAGTGTGTTTCTTGTATGCAGTATATTGTTGGCTCTTGTTTCTTTACCCATTCTGCCAGTCTATTTCTTTTGACTGGTGAATTGAAGCCATTAACATTGATGATTATAACTCATATGTATTGACTTATCCTTGTCACGATCTTTTCCTGTTGTTGGACCTCCCCCCTTTGCATTTAATTTCTTATCATGCCTGATGGATTCCTTCTGTTGGGCTTCCTGGGGTTGTGATCCTCATTGTCTTTTCCTGGGATATTGTTTAAAATTGTTTGGAGTGCTGGTTTGGCATTCATGCAGTTCCTCAGGTGCTCTTTGTCATGAAACTATCTTATTCCTCCACCAATTTTGAAAGATAGTTTTGCAGGAAACTTCAGTCTGGGTTGGAGGTTGTTTTCTTTTTGGGCTTGAAACACTTCATTCCAGGCTCTTCTTGACTTGCCGGTGTGTGTTGAGAAGTCTGCTGTGATTATGGTGGGCTTTCCTTTGCATGTGATTTGTTTCTTTTCTCTAACTGCTTATAATATTTTGTTCTTCTGTTGGGTTTCTAGGATCTTTATCATATGCCTAGGTGTAGATCTTTTTTATCACAGCCAGCTGGAATCCCATATGCCTCACTTATCTATATGTCAAATTATTTTCCCCTGCTTGGGAAGTTTTCTGCCATTTCTCCTGTGAAAAGTTTTTTGTTTGTTTGTTTGTTTGCACTATCTCCTATTTCTTCATTGATTCTTAATGGTCTTATGTTATTCTTCTTTGCATAGTCTAGCAGCTTCTGGATTGCTTTCTCATGGTTCTTTGCTATTTTTAAGAAATCTTTCTTTTCCTGGTCACTAATTACAATTCTGTCTTCTATATCTGATATTCTGTCCTCACATTGGCTCGTTCTGCTGTGTAAACTTTCAATGGAGTTTTTAAATCTCCTCGATGTCTGTTTGTATTTGTTTCATGGATTCCATTTCTTTCCGGTGCTGGGCATTCATGACTTCCATCACATTCCTGAGCTCCTTTATTTTTTTTAAATCTGTGTCTGCTCTAGAGTTATTAATCATGTCTTTCACTATGGTCTCCACCTCTGTTGTTATCTGAGAAGTTATTTCTATTTTCATTTCTTCCAGATCCTCCTTCGCTGCCAGTTCAAGGAGTCCAGGTGACTGATCTTCAGATTGTTCCATCCCTTTGGTGATCTTCAAGTCTAGCTTAGCATCTTATCTAGGTGTCTTCTCATTTCTATTTTTTTGTTATTGTTGAAGTTTTGATTAAATTTGCTGCTTGTAAATTGCTTATTGCAAGTATCTTTATTGCTAGTATTTAGAGCCCTCAGGCAATGGCTGCTTCTTGGACGGTCTTCCTAACATAGTTGGCCTTTGGCTTTTTAGCTTGTAATGGCCTTTAAGCAATCTCAATCTTGGCATAACAGTAAAGACAACTGACTAGAACAATCATGTCACCTTGGCCACAGTAATACAATCAGCAACAACAATAGCATCAAATACAGCTTAGAAAATGATAGATTATGGTAGCTATTATTCTGACAACTTTAACTGCATAAACTAGACTGAGGGTGATATATCAAAATCAAGGACTGCCTAGAAATATATCACAGTTAATAAGCCCGCCAATATAGCAGCTTTACCCTCTGGGAAGAAGACTAAAAAGGAGTTGGTGGGGTACAGGGAGATAGAAGGAGAGGTTAGAAACAGAGCTAGAAAGGGCTATGGGTTTAGCTCAGTGGTCCTTCCACGTGTCTCACAAGCACAAGGTCCGGAGTTCAATCCCTAGTACCAAAGCAAAAATTTTTTAAAGAAATACAGCTAGAGGACCCAGGATGATCACACAAACTTTGGGAAACTGATGAAGACAGGAGGAAAACAGAAAAGGAAGGAACAGAAAAAAGAACAGAATAAGTTAACAGCGACAGGAAAATTAGAAGCTATATTCTTTAACAATAAGAACAATCGAGAAAAAAGAGTAGGGCAAAAACAGGAATAAGAAAGGAGGAAAATGAAGAGGAAGAAAACAGAAATAAGAGAAAAGAAAAAAGAAGAAAAACAAAAAGGTCCCCTTCCAGGCATGACTCTGCTATTGCTGGTAGACAAGGTGGGCAGCAGCATGCAGAGCTGCATCGGTTCATCTCAGTGAACCAGCTGTAGCGCAGTGAGATTTAGGCTGAATTGAGAATGGAGCTCCCTGACCCCCTGCTGGTTAGAACTCTACAAGGTTCTACTGCAGGTTTGAGCCACTCTTTCCCCACAGCAGGTCCAGGGAGGTGCTGGTCCCAGCAACTCACCAATTGCTGTAGTCCGCTCTGCCTTCACTTTTCCAGTAGGCTTCAATTCTCAACAACAAGGCTCTGAGAGGTCCTCTCTCTGTGGCCTACCACTGTGCCATCTTCACAAGCTCCTAGCAATGGCTCTCTGGCCCTGGGTGCCTCTGCCATACAGATCTGGATCTGCAGGTTTGGGAACACCCTCTTGGGATCTGGGAACTGGTGGAGCACATCTTTTGGGGCCCAAGAAAGGGCTGGAAATTCGTTTTTTATGTCGCTCCCAATCCTATGGGCAAAATAACTTTTCACTGACTTTCCCTGATCACCAGGGGAAGGGGAAAGACCCTTTCCAAATCCCAGAAACTAACTGTGGGATTAATTCTTGCAGGGAAAAGAAAAAAAAGGCATGAATCATACTACTTTCTAATCACCAACTTTTTCGAGTTTAACAAAACCCATACCATCTGGTAATCTGAAGATAACAACAGTCTGCATGAAAGAAACAAGGAATTCTAAACTACCCTGGATTTTGTGACTGTCTGCCTAGCTGATAACCCTCCCTGAAGCTTGCTAAGTAACCCTGCAACTCCTGAAAAAAATGGTGTTTGTTTGTTTGTTTCTGTTTTTGAGGCAGGGTCTCACTATGTAGTTGAAACTGACCTGGAACTCACTATGTAGCCCAGGCTGGTCTCGAACTCACAGCGATTGTCCTGCAAAATCGAGAATAAGAGGACAGCGTGTTTCGGGAGTGCTTGGTAACAGTGCTAGTTCACCCTACTGAAGGTGGAGGAGACATAACAAAGCAGCATTATTTTACACATTATTGGTTTCATTAAAAGCATTCCAGATCTTGGCCGTGCTCTGCATGTACCACTTCATTTTTCCTACGGTCTCTCTTTTGCAGAGGTATCACTTTAATGCCTGGAACAATGAGCACGTGACATCCTGTGTGAAATGCTCAGCCCTTTCTCTGCTGTCTGTGCCTGGGCTGTGCCACTTCCTGTTTCTCTTCCTGAGTGACAGCAGACTGAACGGGGTGTCATAAATAAAGACTGTGGTTCTCAGAAATTTGGGGCACTGAAGGACAGTGCTGAACATGGATGGCACCAAGGAGGAGAAGGTATCACATCTGGGACCCATTGTGAGGCTGAGCTGGACTTGGGGCTTTGAGGCAAGAGGGACAGCTTAGGTCTCAGCCCACCAGTCTCTGACTCACGTTCTGCCTATCCAGAGAAGGACCTGAACACCAGCAGTCATTGATATTCCGTTGAAGACTGGATCCCATCAAAATTCTAGATTCAATTACGTGGAGTGGAGTAAGGATAAGAGTTGAGAAACAGTGAATAGCTCCTCCCCTATCTTTCAGGCTTGAGAAGCTATTGGCTGTGACCCCAGAGTCCTGCTCCCTGGGATATGGAGGTTAGAACGCTGGAGTTCTGGGCTGGGCGTGGTACCTCCTGCCTGTGATCCCAGCACTTGGGACGTTGAACGAGAGATCTCATCTCTGCAAGTCTGAGGCCAAGTGAGGTTACATAGTGAGTTCAAGGCCAGTCTGAACTCCAAATGGAGACCCTGTCTCAAAATAAAACCAAAATCAAACAAGCAAAAACCAAAAAAAAAAAAAAATTCTGGATTTCTGGATGCAGAAAGGTAAAGTCTCCCCACTGGAAAATGTAACCTACACTCCTGGGTGCTAGAGAGCTAGAATGTGGAATCCCGTGGCCTGGAAAGGAGCAGTGTGTGGCCGTGCAGGGAGAATCACTCCTCTCCCACAGGGTCGGGGTCACTTCCAGGTCCCTGAGGTGCTACAGCTGCTCTTTCTCGTGGTCTTCAGCGCGACCCTGCTGGCTTTCCTGGTCCCAGGTGAGGGCGGGCTGAGGGCTGGGGCTCCCTGGACCGGCCTTTCCACCGAGGTGGTGAAGCGCGCAACGGAAATGGGGCAGAGTTCAGATCCTTGGCTGGTGTCTGGGCTGTTTCTACGGCTCATTCCTGCTTTTACTACAGGGAGAGGAGGGAAGAGTCCCAAGAGAGGGTCTGGCTTGTAACATCGCTTCTCTTCAGCCTTCTCAAGGGGTCAAGATTCTTCCTCTTGAAAAAGATTAAGCATGGCACTGGCTTGCAGAGAAGATGGCTTTGGGGACTAGCGCAAGCCACAGCAAACTAGGTTTTTAACAACTGTAGCCTCTTCTTTTCTCGGCACAGGTCCCCTGGTCGTGAGCTCCCAGGAGCAGGAGATGATCTACCAGGAACTAACCCGGCTGAGTGTAAGAACAGGTGAGTAGCCAGAAAATCACGACTCCAAGGGCCTGCCTGAGAGGTTGTCTGCGTAGTGCCTGCTTTAGTTATCTGTGCTCCCTGAGCCTGTTTCCTGACCTGTGAAGCAGAAACACGAAGTACTGTAATGGTGAAGACAGCCCTTGGTGCGGCATGGAGTTATCAGTCAGACTCTGTGTCTCTGAGCTGAGCTCCTGACACTCTCCTTTTCGTGGGGGCGGGGGAGGCAAGGGGACCCGCGCTCCCGGAGGAAGAAGGAAGTGAGCAAGTGGAAGGGGGAGCGGCTCCTTGAGTCATCCGGGCAGACACAGGAACACAGCTGTGCAAACACAAGTCCAGCCTGATCACCTCCCCTGACAGACCGCCTGTGCCGCCCCTGCCCCTGGGACTGGACGCTCTTCCAAGGAAACTGCTACTTCTTCTCCAGGTCCAAACAGGACTGGTTCAAATCTGTCTCTGCCTGTGAGGAAGTTGATGCTCAACTCGTCGTCATTGAAAGCGAAGAAGAGCAGGTACAGCTGAGCGAGGGGCCCTTGTTGGTCCGAGGCTTGACGCTGACCACTGGTGTGTGGAGGTGATGGGCGGGCACAGTTGCTGGAGAGGGAGCGGCTTTCTTTGCCTGGAAAGGGAAGGCGACAGTGTGAATTAGCAGGTACCTAGTACCTCCCAAGATGTACCCACAAATTCCTAAGGTCAGTGAATGGGGAAGTGAATGGGTTGCTAGACACCCGTACAAGCACATCTTTCTTCTTACTACTTCTTCTCCCCTCCTCTGCAGTCCTCACACTTCTTCTCTTGAACCACTTCCCAGTTCGAGAAGCTCATCTTAGTCTGCTTCTATCCTTTATTGTTCTCTTTATTTCTACTCTGACTCACTCGAAGGAGAGATACCGTATCGGTCTGCTCTATTTCACTCAACATTGTATTTTTCAAGTGCCTCCGTTTTCCTACAGATGTGTGGTTCTTTATAACAGAGTAGTAGTCCATTATGGATAGATACTGCGTCTTCTTTACCCAGTCCTCCATTGATAGGTGGCCAGGCTGCTTCCAGGATTGAGCTGTTATGATGTGTGCTTCTGTAAGCATTGGTACGCATGCACAACTGTAGTATGATGTCTGCAGCTCTTCGGGAAAGATCCCTAGCAGGACAATAGCTGGGTCACATGGAATTTCTACCTTCAGTTCTTTCAGAAATCTCCATACTGGTTCCCATAATGGTGGTGCCAGTTTATATTCCCACCGACAGAGGAGGATTCCTATTCAGCACAGGCATGCCAGCATCTGTTGTTGATAGATTTCTTAATGATTGCCATTCCTTCTGGGGTGAGAGGGAATATTAGGATGGTTTCAATTTGCATTTCTCTAAAGGCCAGAAATATGGGAGCATTTTTTTCATATATTTGCTGACCACCTATATTTCTTCCTCTGTGAAGGGTCTTCATTTCTCTTGGCCATTTCTTGGCTGGTCTTCAATTTTAGGTTGTTTAATTTTTTTAGTTCTGTGTATATTCTAAGTACTGTTCCTCTGTGTCAGGAGTAGCTGGAAAAAAATTTTTATCATCCCGTGTGGTGGTGGTGGTGGTGGTGGTGGTGTTTGGTACCAGGGATCGAACTCACGACCTTGTGCTTGCAAGGCAGGTGCGGTACCACTGAGCTAAATCCCTGGCAAATAAGTTCCTCTTGGGTTTTTTGTTTGTTTTGTTTTTTGTTTTGTTTTGTTTTTGTACTGGGATCTAAATCAGGACCTTGTGCTTTCGAGGCAGGCAGTCAGTGGCACCACTGAGCTAAATCCCTGGCCCTACCATTCTGTATTTTATCTTTTCAGTCTCCTAATTGATTCTGTAGTGGTACAGAAGCTTTTTGTTCTGATATAATACCATTTGTTCATTTCTTGTGTAATTTCCTAAGAAAATCCTTTCTTAGGAAAGAAAAGGAAAAAATATGTGAAAAGGAAAAGATGGAAACAAAGTCTTTGTAAATAGGGAAGGGTGATTTGTAAATAGGAAAGGGAGAAGGGGGTGAAGTGAGGGCAGGGACAAGGGGAAAAAATGAGGACCAAGACCTGTCATGTAAAGGTGCAAGATCCCAATGATGAATGTAACTGTACTGTATATCTAGAAAGTACAACAAACTTAATTTAAAAAAAGAGAGAAAATCCTTTCCTATACCTATGTCTTCATGTGTCTTACCTACTTCATCTTGCAGAAAGTTTAATGTTTCTTTTTCAGTGGTTAGATCTTTGATCCATTTTTATTTTAATTTAGTGCACAGTGAGAGATAAGGGTCCAGTTTCAATCTTCTGCCAACAGATAACCAGATTTCCCAGCACCCCTTGTCGAAAAGGCTATCTTTCCTCCAACATATGCTTTTAGTTCTTTTTCTCAAATATCAAATGGCTGAATATGCCTGGAGATGTTCCTGTATACTCAGTTCTGTTCCATTGATCCGTATCTCTGCTTTTGTTCCAGTATCATGCTTTTTTAAAATCACTTTTGTTTTGTAGTATTTCCCGAAGTCAAGTATTGCTATGCCTCCTCCTTTGCTATCATTGCTCAGGACTACTTTTGCTCTTCTGGGTCTCTTCTGGATCCATATGAATTTCAGAATTGTCTTTTCAAGATCTATACAGTGTGCTGTTGGCATTTTCATTGGGGCTGCTTTGAGTCTGAATAACGGTTTTGGAAGACGTGGCCATTTTGACAATATTGGTTCTGCCTATCCGGGAGCAGGGGACGTCTTTCCGTTTCCCAATGTCCTCTTCAATCTCCTTCAGAGAACTGTAGTTTTCTTTGTTAGAAGGTCTTTCACTCCCTTGGGTGGGTTAATTCCTAGGTTTTTCATCTTTCTTGAAGCTGCTATGAATGATGTTATTTTCATCACTTCCTTCTCATCCGTTCGTAGTCGATGTACACAAATGCTAATGATATGTGTGTTAATTGTGTGTGTTGCTCCTTTGCTGAAGTTGGTTATTAACTTAAGGAGTTCTCTGGTGGAATTCTTTGGGTTGTCTATGGAGAGTATAGTGTCATCTGCAAATAATGATAATTCGAACTCTTCCTTTCCTATATGTATCACTTTATTGCTTTCTCTTATCTAACTGCTCTGACTAGTGTTCCAAGTGCTATGTTAAATAGAAGAGGTGACGGTGGGCATCCTTGTCTTGTTCCTGATTTTAGCAATAATTCTTTTCATTTTCTCTCATTTAGTATGATGCTGGCTATTGTTTCGTCATATATAGCTTTTATCATATTCAAGTATGGTCCTTCTATACCTGTTTTCTTCGTGGTTTTTATCATGAAGGGGTGTTGGATTTCTCAAAAGCCTTTCTGCATCTTTTGGTATGATCATTTGGTTTCTTATCTTGCTCCTGCTATGTGATGTGTTACATTTATTAACTATATATGTTGAACCATCCTTGCATCTCTAGGATGAAAGCTACTTAATCAGCATTTATGATCTTTTTGATAATGTATTGAATTCTATTTGCTAGTATCTTGCTAAGGATTTTTGCATCTATATTGATTAAGGATATTGCCCTGTGGTTTTCTTGTTTAGTTGGGTCTTTATCTAGTTTGCAGACAAAGTGATACTGGCTTCCTCATATTAATCTGAGAGTGCTTCATCTCTTTCAACTTCTTTGAAGACCTTGAGGAGGACTCATGATAGAATACCTTTAAAGGTGTTATAGAATTTAGCAGTGTGTCTGTCAGGTCCTGAGCATTTTTTAGTTGGTAGATTCTTTATTGCTTCATCAGTTTTCTTGCTTGTCTTTAGGGTGTTAAGCATATTTATGGAATCCTGGGCTAGTTTTGATAGTTTGTATGTGTCTAGGAATCTGTTCATTTCTTCAAAATTTGATAATTTGTTGGAATATAATTTTTGAGGTAGTTACTAGCTATCTTCAGGATTTTGACACTGTCTGTTTGATGCCACATTTGATATTTCTAGTTGTATTGATATGAGTCTTTTCTCTCTTTCTCTTGTTGAGTCTGCCTAAAGGCTTATCTCTCTTATTTATTGTGCAAAGAACCAGCTTGACTCATTCATTTTTTTTTAGAAGAGTATTGTTAATCTCAATTTCATTATTTCTGCTCTCATCTTAAAATTTCCCTTCTTAAGTTTGGCTTGGTTTGGGGCTAGTTTGTAGTTCCTCAAGTGTCTTAAGGTTTCTCATAAAGTTATTTATTTGCCCTGCTTTCCTAATGTGAGCATTAATTGCAATTAAAATTGCCTCTTAGAACTGCTTTTTTTTTTTTTTTTGAGACAGGGTCTCACTATGTAGTTGAGACTGACCTGGAACTCACTATTTAGCCCAGGCTGGTCTCGAACTCACAGGATCCTCCTGCCTCAGCCTCCCAAGTTCTGGGATTACAGGCATGTGCCACCATGCCTGGCCTCAGTGAGCTTCTCCTTTCATCGTAATTGTTTGGTGCTCTACAAGTGTCACTTACTTGTATTTTAAACTATTTTCTTAAATTTGGGAAATTTTCTTCCATGATGTCTGTAAGCATGTTAGCAAATCCATCTGTGCTGTCTTCTAGTTTTTCTCTAAGTCTGATTAGCTTTAGATTTGTCTTCTTTTTTGTCACTAGTAGCTGCTGGATAGTCTCCTCTTGTTAAGTTTCTTTTTTGGCCCCTGCAGTTCTCTAAGACTCTTGGACATGGTTTCTCCTCTACTTAGCCATGTTGGATCTCCCAGATCATTCCTTCCCTGTGGATCTCTCCTCAGCTTCTATGGTGTGACTCCTCTGCTAGTGAACCATGTTGAATTCCCCATTCCAGACTTTTTCCTTGCCCAAGATCTTGTCCATTGCTTGGCTGGAACTTCTGCTGTCCTATGCAGAGGGGAAATAATGCAGAGCCAGCTCCAAATTAGTGGTGGCTAAGCAAGGCTTGGAATCCATAGTAGTTGAGTTGTTTGGGAAACAGCCCACAGGTCCTAGAATTCCACCAGTGCCACAAATCAGCATTCTGCCAGGGATGAGGGTCTGGGATGGAGCTTTTATTGTCTCCTTTAGAAAGAAGAGATAGGCAGAATGAACAAGCTGAGGGGAGACTAGTTTATTTCAGTAAGTACTGCTGTGCAGGTGAGGTCTCTGGCTGTCTGATACTTGGTACTGACCAGATATATCGGTGGCCCAGAGTGAAGAAATCCAAAAAGGGAGAAGACTGAGGGTGGAATCCAGATTTGTTGGCTTGCGTATGAAAATCACACACTCAAGGGAAGTAATCTCTTTGACCCCTGTGAGACACCAAAGTTCAAGGGCTAATACCAAGTGACTAGGGTATGTTACTGGGTGTCCAGAATAAGGCATTTCTGCCATACGTTCTTGGGGCAGAAGTGAAACCATCAAGTTTCTGAGAGTATGAAACACAGATCTTAGATGGAAATAAAAAAGGATGATGATCTCGAGGGCTTTTCAGGTTCAGGAAATACTGGAAGGCAGGAGAGCCCAACAATCCATACAAAGAAGACTGTGCGCAATTTAGACACGATGGCTGGAATGATGGAAAATGTGAACATGATGAGTCCTGGGTTTGCAAGAAGTCTGCAGCTTCTTGCTTCAAAGGGTGCAGTCCATCCTCATCGGATAGTCCCTGAAGGCTGAGTGTCTCCGACAGGTAACTAAACTCTACTCATGGTTTTTTTCTTCAGTTTTCTTCTTGTCCCTGGGCACTGAGATCATAAGAGAAGACCATCCCAGGGAGAATTTCTTTTTCTTTTTCTTTTTTTCATGAGACTTAGAATATTTATTTGTGATTGGTCCCTGGGACTGAGTTTTTTTAAATCTCTTCTTGTGGAGGTTTCTGAAATGAACAGACACTTCTCAAACAAGTAAAAGCAGCAAATAAATATATGAAAAAATGATCCACATCACTGATCATTCGAGAGATGTAGATGAAAGCAGCACTGAGATTCCACCTCACCCCACAAAGAATGGCTGCTATCAAGAAATCAGCCAATAACAAATGTTGGCGGGGTTGTGGAGATAAAGGAACCCTTCTCCATTGTTGGTGGGAGTGCAGACTGGTGCAACCACTGTGGAAAGCAATATGGAGATACCTCAAAGAGCTTGGACTGGAGGTTCCATTCGACCCAGCCATCCCTCTGCTGGGTATCTTTCCAAAAGAATGAAAAGAATCATACCACATTTATAGCTAATTGGATGCATGTTGAGGCTATATGCTTAAGTGAAATAAGTAGGACACACTTGAGTAAATACCAAATAGTTGCTCGGGTGTGAAAATCTAAAAGTATAAATAAGTTTCAAATGGTATAATTGGGAGTGTGAAACCGGAAGAAAATGGCTAAAGGGAAAGTGGGAAGGGGAGGGCAAAGGAAATAAGGGAAAAGAAAAACTGAGAAAAAATGAACAAATGGAAACAAAGCCTTTGTAAATAGGGAAGGGTGAAGGGAGGGCAGGGGTTTGGGGGGAAAATACAAACCAAGATACATCATGTAAAGGTACAAGATCCCAATGATAAATTTAACTGTATTGTTTGCTTTAAATGTACCAATAAACTTAATGGGAAGAAAGTCTCATCCTTCCTTATAGTATGTGAGTGAGAAATTATTTGGTTTTCAGTTTGCTGAATATTGGTCAATTCTATTCTGACTCAAGTATCTTTGGCTTTCAAAATGTTAAAAGTTATTGATACAACTGTTTGGATCTCAGAGTCATCTGTTCATATAGTTTCACTTAAACATCAGAAGTTCTTTAACTTCTCTGAAATTATAGCAGCAGAAGTAAATAGACAGATGAATGAAGCTATAGGGAAAATCTCATCAGATATAATTTCTCAGGAAAAAGAGATGATGATCATAATGAAGGACTTGCTCAGTGAATTTAGAGTACACATGTTTTTTTTAAAATACAGGAGCTTAGGAAAATGATGAAAACCATGAGTGTCCAACACAGGAAAGAAATAGAATCCGTGAAATAGATGTAAACAGATATCCAGGAGATTAGAAATTCCAGTGAAACTTTACAAATCCAAATGAAAGGGAGTGAGGATAGGATTGCAGTTAGGGATCACAAAAAGAAAAGCTTCTTAAAAAGAGCGCAGGACCTTGGAAAATCCATCTAACAGGTGCGGGATGATGCAAAGTAGAACAACATACGATTAGCCAGTCAGTGAAAAAGCACTGATCGGACCAAAGGGTAAACAAAAACTACTCAGAGAAGTAATAGCAGAAGACTTCTCCAGCATGGAAAAAGAATTTGATAGACAGGGAAGTGCATCATGAAATCAACCAATAACAAGTGCTGGCCAGGCTGTGGGGAAAGAGGAAGCCTGCTCCAGTGCTGCTCGGAGTGCAGACTGGTGCAACCACTGTGGAAATCAGCATGGAGACATCTCCAAGAACTAGGATTAGAGGTCCCATTTGACCCAGCTAGTCCCCTGCTGGGTATCTGCCCAAAAGAATTAAAAGAATCATACCACAGGGATATATGTGCACCTATGTTCATAACAGCACAATTTGTGGTGAAACAGGAGACTGGATAAAGAAAATGTGGGGTTTTTTTCCTAAGATGAAATACTACTTAGCCATAAAAAATGAGAAATTAGAGACATTTGTAGCTAAACGGATGCATATTGAGGCCATACTCAAGTGATATAAATAGGACACACTTGAGTAAATACTGAATATTTTCTCTAGTGTGAGAAACTGAAAGTGTAAATAAGAACTAAAAGGTATAATAAATAATGTGAAATAGGAAGAAAAAGAACAAAGAGGAAGGGGAAATGGGTGGGGGAAAGGAAAGAAGAGAATGGAATTAATATGAGAAAATGACAAAAGATGGAGACAAAGTCTTTGTGGATAGGGAGGAAGGGAGGGGCTTGAAGGGAGGGAAACAGAATGGGGAAGAAGTAAGAACCAAGACAAGGGGCTGGGGATTTAGCTCAGTGGTTCCACCACCTGCCTCACAAGCGCAAGGACCTGAGTTCAATCCCTGGCACCACACACACAAAAAAAACCCAAGACTGATTCTGTAAAAATCACACATTTTCAGCAATGAATGTCATTATACTGTATACATTAAGTGTACCCCAAAAAGTAATAAAAATAAATAAATAAGTGAAGCAGGCAGAATTCCAATTAGCCATGACCAAAATGAATGTGCACCGAGGCACATAAAAATTAAGAATCGGGAATTTCAGCTGAAGAGCAGAATATGAAAAGCTCTTAGAGAAAAGAAATGAATCGCCTATAAAGGGAAAGCCCATCAGAATCACAGCAGACTTCAACCCAGACTGATGTGCCCTACAAAATTATCTTTCAGCGTCAGTGGAAAAATAAGATACTTCCACAACAGGAAACAACTGACGAAACCAGCTCAGCAAAATGTTCTGAGGGATGTTTTAGAAAAAGATAATGAGGACCACGATTCCAGAAACCAACTGGCAAGGCAAGCAATCAAACAGAAGGGGAAAACAGGGAACCAAGAAGAGGAAAACAATAAAACAAGAATAAGCAAGGCATACCAGTCATAATCTGAGGTCAATTATTGCAATTCACCAATCAAAAGAAACAAACTGGCAGAATGGAGCAAGAAGCAATAGCCAACACTGTATTGCTTACAGGAAACACATTTAACTCAAAAACACATACTTAGAACGAAAATCAAAGGGTGGAAAACAATACTTCATACGACAAGAGCTCAGAAAAAAGCAGGGGTAGCTATTCTATTTGCAAAATCAACTTCAAGCCAAGACTGGTCAAGAGAGACAAAAGTACTGCATACTTGTACTAGTTACTTCTCTCTCACTGCAGTAGGTATTAAAAAATACATTAATAATTCAGCCTCAACTTCTACTCAGTAGAAATTACCACACATGAGGACATCACCAAGGCAGCAAAGACTGAGGTCACCTGGGGTAGTATTCTTGGAGTAATTGGGGGCTACCACTGAAGGTAAAGGAAACACCACAAAGTAGCTATATTTTATAAGCTATTATCTTCATTAATGATGTCACTAATGATGTCAAACAGTGGTCTGACAGCACCATTTCTCTTCACTACATACCCCAGGCCTTAAGAAGTTCTTCCTAAATTCCTGGACTGGCCAGCCCATGACTGTGCTCTGACAAATGCTCATCCCTCTCTTTTATCGCTACAAACGCTGGTGCCCACTTCCACGGTTCCCTCCCTGAGTTGCGGTAAGATCAGATAGTGGGGGACAGAGGGTGATAAATACAAGCTGTGGTCCCCAGCAGGCCCAGGCATCGTCCGACAGGCAGAGGTAAAGATGACGGACCCCAAGGGAGCGGCAGCGCAGACCTCGGCCTCCGGGGTGAGACCTGGAAGGGACTCTGGAGCTTCACAGGGACAGCTCACATCTCGGGTCGCTGAGTCTGACTGAGTTTGTGCCCATTCAGAGGAAGAGCTGAACACCAGCAGCACCAAATCTCCCTTTAAAGATTCCAGATGCCACTCAACTTTGCAAGCTGAATGCCTCAGCTTTGCGTTCAGAGGAGGTAGAGGAGCTAAGGAGGCGTGGACAACTATTCTCGTGTCTGTGGGGCCTTAGGAGGTTCATGGTGACTATGGGCTTCTGGATTCTGGAACGCGGAGTTTAGAATTCTGGAGTCCTTGGTCCTGGAGGAGTGGGCTCGGGCCAGGAGGATGAAAATGACTCCTGTGCTCCAGAAAGCTGAGAGCTGGGACCTGGAACCCTGGGCCCTAGGAAGGAGGAGGCCAGGGGCAGGCTGTCCCCGGGCCAGGTTGAGGAAGTGACTCTCTTCTGCTGGAACAGCCCTGTTTCTCTCCTGTAGGCGCTCTGGGCCATTTTCAGGTCGCCGTGGTGCTGCAGCTGCTTTTCCTCTTGCTCTTCATTGTGACCCTGCTGACAGTCCTCGTCCAAGGTGGGGGCTCCTTGGTCCAGCCTTTCCACTGGGGTAACCGGTCCCTCAGGGCCCCTCTCAGAAGCGAAGACCGCGGCGGGGGAGGGAGGAGGCACAGGAGCCCGTCGTGGCTCAGGTGTCTCACGCTCAGCCTTCTCCGGCAGGCGCGTTTCTCCTTTGTAGAATGGGATGCCGTGGAACTTCGATTTGCCGAGGACAGGACCCTGTGACCTCTGTCCAGGTCACAACCTAGGCTGCATTTGTAGTGACTGCGGTCCCACCGTTTCTCGGCACAGGTCCCAAGGTCCTGAGCTCCCAGGAGCAGGAGGTGATCTACCAGGAGCTAACTCGGCTGAGTGCCAGAGTAGGTGAGTCCCAGAGATGGGGTCTCCCGGCGCCTGGCACAACGCCTCCGTGCTGCCCCTTGGCCTCGGTCATCGGCCCTGGCTGGACCTGTTTCATCGGTGAAACAGGTGCAGTTGGTTACAGGGAGCAGCGCTTGGTATCTCAGGAGGATGTGAGCGCTCCAGGCTCTCAGTTCTGGGTCTTCGTTCTGAGTTTCCGAGGCCCTGTCTCCCGTTACAGAGGTTGTGGGTCCTGAAAGCGCAGGTTCTCCCAGAGTGGGGAGCCTCATGCAGTCCGGAGGGAACGGCCTCCCTCAGGGTCCAGTGTCAGGGCAGGGCCTTTGCTCCCTGGACTCGCAGTTGGGCCGGACACAGGCACACGGACGGAGCTGACCTCCTTTCCCTACCAGACCTCCTGTGCCGCCCCTGCCCCTGGGACTGGACACACTCCCAAGGCAACTGCTACTTCTTCTCCAAGTCCAAGCAGAACTGGAGTGACTCGGTCCCCTCCTGCCAGGAAACAGGTGCTCAACTTGTCATCATTCAAAGTGAAGAAGGTACGTGGTGTTTCTCGACCTGGACTGGGGCAGGCACCCGGCCCTCTGACCGCTGGGCAGGAGAAAATTGGTCAGGGAAAGTATTCGAGGAAAACAGGGAATGAGGTGATCCCAAGCACATTGCAAGGAGAATGAAAGTTTTGGGCAGGAGCGGGGAAAAAAATAAGTGATCCCAACTGGTGTGCTGGCCAGAGTTTCACAGCTTGTTTCTTGGAGGGAGAACAAGTGCTGATGGGTGCTTAACACATTGCAAGGAGAATGAAAGTTTTGGGCAGGAGCGGGGAAAAAATAAGTGATCCCAATTGGTGTGCTGGCCAGAGTTTCACAGCTTGTTTCTTGGAGGGAGAACAAGTGCTGATGGGTGCTTTTGCCGATTTCCCTGCTGTAAATATGTCCATGTGGCTGTCAATCTACCAACGGGACTGAAACTGCACACGCGGTGCCTTCCTACTGTACCTTCCCACTCCAGCACACAAGATCTACGGCTCTGTGCTATCTCCTGGATTCAGGAAGGTGGTCTTCGTGTCGGTGAGCACTGAAATGCCACCACCAGAGCTTTAGGAAGAACTTGCAGGCAGGGTGATTGGTTGAAAATACAGTGTATTCCTAGAAAATCTGAGGACTCGTAAGAAGGGCGAGGCGAGGGTCTTTCGCCATAGAAAAGGTAGCTTATGATGTTCGAGTTCCCAAGAGAGGGAGTAGAGATCACACTGTGAGGGACACATGGGAAAGGAACAGGGCCGGTCAAAAGGGAGAGGATGGAGATACTCTTGGAAAGAGACCTTTTTTTTTGGTGTCCATGGGGAGGGAGAGGTGGGGCAGGGTAACGAGCCTTAAAAATAGATCGTTTGGATTATGTCAGGTGGTTCTGTGGAGTATTTTCCTTAGCTGTCTGGAACTCTCTCCTGAGGAGTAGCACAGTGGCCACAGTGCAGGAGCTCAATAAGGAAAGTAGCAGGAGGTGTGGCGTCGAGGTTTGAACCCAGCACGTCTCGCCCTACGCATGCAGGGCGAGGGTGAAACCATCAAGTTCTGGTGATTAAAATTAGACCCTTATCTTTCGCCATGCACTAAATTAAAATCCAAATGGATTAAAGATCTAAATATTAAAACAGAAACATTAAACTTGCTGGAAAGTAAGTTAGGTAGAACTCTGGAAGACATTGGTATAGGAAAAGACTTTATGAACAAATCCTCAGTAGCACGGGAACTAGCAGAAAGAATCAACAACTGG